GGAGAACGGCCATGTCATCTACAACGGGGACATGACGCCCAAGGTGGGGGTCGAGGTGGCCCCGCAGAACGGGAACGGCTCGGCGGAACCCCCCAAGGAGGAGAGCGAGGGCGAAGCGGGCGGTGCGGACACCATCGAGCCCGCCCCGGCCGCCGCCGACGGCGGCGACCCCAAAACCGAAGGGGCCGCGGCCCCCAAGGACGCCCCCAAGAAGAAGAAGAAGTTCTCCTTCAAGAAATCCTTCAAGCTGAGCGGGATCTCCTTTCGCAAGAACAAGAAGGAAGCCGGGGACTCCTCCGGCTCCTCGCCCACGGAGGAACAGGGCAGGAGCGAGGAGACCCCGCCGGGGGGGCTGCAGCCCTCGGCTCCCCCCGAGGAGGAGCAGAGCGGCCCCGGGGAGGGCGGAGAGGGGCCCGAGCCCAAGGATGGAGGAGAAGCCGCGGGGAGCCAGGAGGAGGAGAATCAGCAGCAGCAGGGAGGGGAGAGCCAAGGAGACACAGCCAAACCCGAGGAGCCCTCGAAAGGCGCGGGGCCGGAGCCCACAACGAGCCCGGCGGAGCAGAAGGAAGAGTAGAGGCCGCTCGGGGCATCGTCCTCACCGGGGACTCTCACAGCGCCCCCCGACCCTCCCCGCCCCAGCCCGGATCGCCACGGACTCGCCCGCACCGCCCCGGCCCCGCTAGGACCGCCAGCACCTCCCGCACACCCCGCCCTGCAGGGAACGCGCTCCCCGCTCCCGCTAGAGAGAAAGAGAAAAAGCTGGTTTGGATTCCCATCACCACTTGGAGTAGTTTGAGCTGAATTCCTTGGAGAAAACAAACAAACAAACAAAAGAAAGCTGGCGAGGAAGATTTGTCCCGGACACCACTGGAGTTTACAGTTTGTAAGAACCCGGATCCCAAATCCCACTCTGGATCTCTCCAGACTGTCCCCCCTCTCCTCCCGCTCCCACTGACTGTTCAATGGAATTTTTATTTTATTTTGTGTTTTTTTCGTGTTTGTTTTTTTTTTCCTTTATTTCTCAGTTTACATTCCTGGTTCTGACTTTTCATTTCAAGTATTTTCGTGCTTTTTTTTTTTTTTATATAGAAATCGATGGTTTAAAAAAAGCTAATCTGGTTAGTTTTTTTTATAATGTCTTCTATTGGCTTAAAACTATAAAGCTTGTAAGTCCGCTGTGTTTAATTCTGCTTTAAGGGGTAACTTTTAGGGTGTGGGGTGGAGAGAGGGGGCCCTACCAGCTGTATAATGTGAAGCCAACATTGTTTTTTTTTTTCCTCTGTAAATAATTTTTTTAATGGCCAAGAAAACCGCTTGATTTGCAATTTTCTAACTTGTAAAAAAAAAAAAAAAGGGAGAAAAAGAAAAAAAAAATTTAAAAAAAAAAAAAAAAGACAACAAACCCAAACTAAACCACCAAACAAAAGCTGTAACATTTGAAAGGAATAAATGGTGAGCCCTTTATGGGAGAGCTGGAGTCCTTCTTGTCCTGGATGGCAGGGAGGGAAGATGGCAGTTGCTGATTTAGCCCAGCAGCTGCTCTGTTTAATCAACGCTCGCCGTTAATTGACTCGCAGCAGATGCAGAGCCCCGGCCACAAAGGACTTTCCCAGCCCAGCCCTGTCCCCACCTCCCCATCTCTTCCCAATCCCGCTTTTCCCCCCTGTGGAAGCTGGAAAAACCCGATGGAATTCCCGATTTTTTTTTAATTTAAATACTTTTTTTTTAGAGAGAGAGGGATTAGCTCCTCTGAGCTGAAAGGAGCACAAAAGGCAGCAAAGATTTGCTGAACAAAGGGAAAAGGAGGTGACAATGGAGCCTCTATCCCTGCTCGTGTCACCTGCACTGGGATGGCTTTTCCAGGATGGATCCGGGGGGGTTTTTTTTTCCCCAGGAGATCCCTGGAAAATGTTCCTGCAGCTCCTCCATTTCATGGCCTTACTCCCAATTCCCACCTCAGCTCCCAGTTCCACCTGCTCCTGCTGTTTTGGCTGGAGAAGAGCAAAAATAATAGAAAATAAATAATATAAAATAATATAAAATAATATAAAATAATATAAAATAATATAAAATAATATAAAATAATATAAAATAATATAAAATAATATAAAATAAACCCCAAAGCTTTGTTTGCCCAACAGGCACCACCCTGGCAAGGGCAAGGAGCATCCAGGCTCTTCCCGAGCCTTGAGGTAGGTGGGAATACCCAAAAAATTCCATGTTTTACGCAGGAAAGCCAAAATCAGGGATTTGTCTCCCAAATGGATTCATTTCTTCGAGCAGAGGGGTGAAATAAATGGGTTTTTTTACCCAATTTTGAAGGAAAAGTGGGATTTGGGAGCATCTGGCGGAGCCGCAGCCTGGCAGCCATTTTAGAAATCCTGGAAAAGGGAAGGGCTCGGGAAGGGGGAATTCAATGGGGATTCCATTCAAATTCCAGGGGTTTTGTTCCAAAAAAGGGGAGGATTTAATGGTGGGAGGGAGGATGGAGCTTCCCCGGGGCTGTTCAGCACCCAAAATCCACTGAGCCCACACAAAACTGCTTTTTTTTTTACTCCAAAAAGAGCAGATTTGGGGTTTTGTGGCCATTTCAGGTGTGATCAGCGCTCAGCTCCACGATGGAGCTGCTAATAATTGAATTAAGGAATTTTCATCCTCTGGGATTCTGGATAAAAGCACTAAAATCCAGCCCAAAGGTGAATTAAGTCCATCACTTGGTTATTCCCAAACTGCTCCACTCCAAGCAGGAAACCAAAGGGGATCAGGGATGAGAACCCAGCTGGAGTTTGGGAATAAAATCAAACAGGTGAAGCTGTGAGGAAAAGAAAAATAATCCCCAAAACCCATCACGTTTGAGCTCCTTTGAGAATCTTAAGGCAAAAAACAAGGGGGAAAAGGCAAAAAAAAAAGGGGGAAAAGGCAAAAAAAAAAGGGGGGAAAGGCAAAAAAAGAAAAGGGAAAAGGCAAAAAAACAAGGGGGAAAAGGCAAAAACAAGGGGGGAAAGGCAAAAAAAAAGGGGGGAAAAGGCAAAAAAAAAGGGGGAAAAGGCAAAAAAAAAGGGGGAAAAGGCAAAAAAAAAGGGGGAAAAGGCAAAAAAAAAGGGGGAAAAGGCAAAAAAAAAGGGGAAAAGGCAAAAAAAATCCCCCCCAAAAAAACCAAAAAACCCCAAATAATTGACAAAGGAAATAACCATTAACAAAAGAGATTCAAGCAAGAAAATCAAATCAAGATATTTTCAGGTGTAGGAGAAATAAATAAATGTTTTGGTGGATGGAATTAAACCTGAAAGAAGAAAGGAATTAATGCCTTGTTTTTCTTCCCAAATCCTAATTCCACCTCTAATTTTTTTTTTTTATAGCCATTAGATCCAAGCACAGCTCTGAAAATGAATTAATTGAGCAAAAAAGCAGAGCAGGCTCACACCAGCAATAGAAATGGAGCAGTTTTATTACAAAGGTTCTGAAAATTCAAAATAAACGCATCTTTAAAAAACCACAATAGATTTTTTTTTTCCCCTCCCCTCGTGTCCCTCCCACATTCCCCAGACACAAAGTTACACTGATCTCTCTCTTGTTTCACATAAAAACACTGAAAATCGGAGTGAAAACCTCACTCAGATCCCAAAGAGAATAAAAAAACTCCACGGTGAAGGGGGGAAAAAAAATAAAAGGGAGGGAGGGAGGGAGGGGAAAAAAATAAGGAATTAAAAAAATAAACCCTTTGAAAAAGAACCTGTGTGAAAGTTTTAGCAGCATTATTGGAGTTGAAAGCCTCAGCAGTGCTCCCATGGGAGGGTGCAGAGCCTCTGGAATTCCAGAGGGATCCCCCTGAGAAAGGAGAGCAGCGAGTGAAACTGCCTGGAGAGAAAAAAAAAATAATAAAAAATTAAAAAAAAAATCTGAATTTCTCCCCCCCCTACCCCAAAAAAAGTTTTATTTTTCCTTCTCTCGGTTGTACAAAAGGAGAGGTAAAAGGTCACAAAAGAGATCTGGGGGTGAGGATGTGTGGGAGCTGTAAAAAAGCTCAGAGCCCCATCTGCTGTTCCCTCAGGATAAAAAAGTTGGAATTTACTGGCCTTGGGAAGGAAATCCAGTTGGAAAACTTCTTTTAAAAATAAGGAGAAACTTGGGTTTTTTTTTTTTTAGGGATACACATGAAGAAAAGCTAGCAGCTGGGTTCTTTGAGGGGATTTCTGGGGTTTCAGCAGAAAAGTGGAGCAAAAGGGGAGGAATTCCCTCCCCACACAGAGAGGGGCATCAAAAACCAGCAAAAAAAAATCCCTGCCCTCCCTGGAGGAGCATCAAGTGCTGCCACACTCCCTGGATCCAGGAGATCTTGGAAAACTGAATCACCCCCTAAAGGTGATTTTAATTTTACATTTTCCAGATCTGGCCTCTGGGGCTGATTCATTAAAAAAAAAAAAAAAAAAAAAAGCCAAAAAAAAATAATAAAAAAAAGGACTTTTTGGGGTTTTTTTCAGCTGCTTCATCTCTTTCCCCAAGTTTTGCTGCAGGGAGGAGCCAACTCTGTTCAAGAACTGCACAATTTAGACCCTGAGAAGTGGCACCAGCTCGCAGGTTTTTGTTTTTTCTGTGGTGGTGGAATCCAACTGAAGACCTCAAAGGTCTCTCCCAGGCTTCCTTTGGGAATTCTCCCATTAAAAACAATACCAAAAAAAGAAATAATTGAGGAAAACCAAGAATTGATGGCCATCTTTCCACCTAACCTGAAATGCAGACACTACTTCTACTTAAATTATTCTTTTCCAAGGTTATTTCGGAGGAGAGAGCAAAGGCAAGGAAGTGATTTTTGTGTTTTTAGAGCCACACCAAGGAGGGGCAGTGGAAGGCAAAGGGTGAAACTCCCCCAGACACCAAACCTGGGCTGCTCAGCTGAATCCTCCCCTGCCTGCTCCCAGTGGAGTGCAGCAAGGAATAATTTACAGTTCTCCAGTCATTTATACAATTATATAGAAATATATACAGAAAACATATATAAAATAGAAATCCTGTGGGGAGGAGGCAACCCAGGAGCTAAACCTACGACAACACCCGGGCAGCTGCAGAAAACTCAAGTGGATTTTGTTTCTTCCTTCACCCTGGGGAAGCAAAAAAAAAATAGGATTTTGGTTTAAATCAACAATTTGGCTTTGAATCTCACAACAAGGCTTAAAAATGTTGCTTATCTGGTTCATTTTCAACTAAAATTTAATATATTGCTGAAGGAAAGAACAGTGTTTTGATTTTTTAGCCTTCTCAAGACCTGCAAGCTTCTTCCAATGAGGAACCTGTGACAAATCCACCCAAAGTGCCACCCAAATTGTCACCTCAACCCTCCCAAACCCTGCTGGGCACGGGCAGGAGCCAGGCTCACCCTTTGGGTTCTGCTGCTGCTGCTTTTTCCTCTTTTACTTTTTCCTCTTCTTTCTCATCTGGAAAAAAAAAAAAATAAAATTAAAGACACACAGCAGTGCAGAAGGAGAACTTCAGGTGGTTGCCAGCTCTGCTGCTCTCACCTTTCTTCTCCTCTTCCTCCTTCTCCTCCTCTGCTTTCACACGTTTGGCTTTCTTGAAGTTGGCGACGTTTTTGCGGCCTCCCTCGCCCTCGTCCTCGGAGTCGGAGAATTCCTCATCGCAGGATATTCTCTTGTTGGAATTTCGGACTGAGGGGACAGGACAGAGCTTGGCTGAGCAGATTTTCAAGATCAGGAGGCTCCCAGGATTAATTCTCTGAGCGGAGCTCACGTAAATCAGGATTAGGCCGTGATAAAAACGCTTTATTTTGGTACCTGCTGCATCTCTGAATTCATCCCAAGTGCTCCAAGATCACAGGGACAACTTGGATTAGGCACAGTGGGATGTCTAGACCTGACAGCAGCTTTAGAACCAGCCTCCCACTGCCAAATCTGTCTGCCAGATCCCAAGGGCCAAGCTGGATAGAAAACTCCATTTTCCACTGCTGGGATCACACCCAGGATTCTGCCAAGGATTCTATCCCAGCACTCAGCGACTCCTGGAATTCTCCCTTGAAAACCAGAGTTCTTCCCAATATGGAAATCACCTGGCAGGAGAGATCCTGCAGTGCTTTGTCCTATAAAATCCCAGCAGGGAGGTGGGAATGGATTCAAATCACAGAGGTCAAACCCTGGGGCAGAGCCTGAGGGGAAGCTCCAGCCCCTCCCCGGGGATTCTGGGGGCTCCACAAAGTCCCAAGCCCAAGGGTTTGACTTTGGATGTCCCCACAAACCAAGGGGAATAAATCCTGGAGTCAGAATTGGATCTAAACCCTGCATCCTCATGAAGAGCTCATGGATCCCGCTCGGCTTTGGGCTTCTCCCAGCAGAATTCAATTCCCAGCACCTACTGGAAATGCGTTTCTCAGGATCATCCTCCTCCTCATCCCCACTGTCCTCCTGGACAGCATCCTCAGGAATTGGCTGCATCTGGACCCCGGGAGCATGAGG